TTGTTTTCACCGGAAGTGGATTTTTTCTCGTAAAAGCTGTTTTTCTCCTTAACGAAACCCAAACGAGCAAAATAAATGCCAAATTCGTTTTCTACGTTGCTGTTTGCGTCGAATAAGAAAAACTTGTATTTTTGGGTTTACATGCCCTTTAAAATAACGGCCACGACGTTATGCTGTTCGCGATTGCGTTACAATTTGAGCCGTTTATAAGGCAATGTATGAGAATGCTTCGAAAATTGTTCTAAATGCTCCGTGTAGAAAACAATTTAAATAAAAATGGTTTATCTGATGTTTAAATTGCGTCATTTTGATGTATCTGGGTTCCTGGAGGTGGTTTCGAGCCATATAGGCGAGTTTTACTTAAGAAAAACTCAGTTTATTTATACTGTTTTGTACCCGTAGCATTTCGAAGAACTCTCACACATTGTCTTGTAAACGGCTCAAATTGTAACGTAATCGCCAACAGCATAATGTCACGCCTGTGAGCTGTGCGGCTGTCATACAACTGTTTTCTTCGCAAAACTGCTCAGTAAAATTGTTTACAATGGTCTATACCGCCGCCGATGTTTTTTTGTTGTTGTTTTTTTATAATGTCAGCGACATTGATGAACTTAGCAAGCTAACGCACCGCTTCTTGTGCATGGCTCGTGACATTTTAAAGAACTGCATTTGTCTATTTCATTGTATTGTCTTATGAAACAATCAGTAGCGAACTGAAACTCTTGTGGGGGACTTTCCACTTAAATTTTTGCGAGCAATGGGGAAATGGCAACTATAAAGGAGATGTCTCTTATCAAAAATTCCTTGTATATATGTTGCGATAACCACTCAATTCCATTGTTTATGAACAAATCTGGAGTCGCGTGTGTGTCAAGACTAACTCCTTTAGTGCGCGGAATAATAAATTCGATATTCAATACTAAGGCCCCGTCAACAGTAGACTGGATAAATTCGAAAATGCGCACCGCTTCATTTCTACGGTTAGCCCCACCGTCCACACCAATCCGTGATGAAAACGGAGCTTTTCGAAAACGCTCTTCAAACCGGGGAAATTTCAAAACGCGGGCGTTTCGTTTTCGTGTGAACAGAAAACATTTTGAAAACGGAGCTTTTCGAAAACGGCGAAATCACGATAATCATGTAATTTCCCTGACTGAGTTTTCCTCGAGTACAAATCTAAAATGACCGGTGATTGTTGCGTTTTCAAATTACTGCCGCTCAGTGTGGACTTCAAACATTTGATGCGTTTTCAGAGTGAAAACTCCGCTTTCAAATTTTCCGGCGTAGCGTAGACGAGGCCTAAACTGGACGTTTTCAGTATAAATTCATTTTTATCCTCCAACAGATTTTGGCAGCATAGTCTGCGACTGATAAGGTTCTAGAAAAAAGCGAGAAAGGCTAGCCTCTTAGCTTGTACATGCGCCAAACCTCAAAACGATTCCTTTAAGACATTATCAATGTTATGTAAAATGCCAGGAGAAAGTAACGGGGCAAAACCTTTTTTTATAAAACACTAATGGTACTGTGACTTTCGTTGACATGCAGAAAAGGTTTCACATTTCATACCGCAGTAGTGTGCGAAAGTTTTTTTTTGTTATATTGTGTCTGTTACAGAGAATAGGGTCAGCCGGGGGGAGAGGGAGATTGTGCGAGGGAGAAGAGGGAGGAGGGAGGTGGGTATGTGGGACAAGGGATGGGGGATGTGGAGGGGAAGGGATAATGGCAACGGCATTCTCGGGATATTGAGAAAACATATGCACATTTGACACGATCTATGAATATTTTTTATTATTTAGGTTTTGAAACATGCTTTTGAAACATGTACCACTCCAAGCAGGATTAAGCCTGGTTTTCACATGTCGGGAAAATCCCAGACGATCGGGGATTTTACTTTTTGCCGACCATCCCAGATTTTGCCGATATATCGGATATTCGCCAGAGGTCTGTCCCAGATTTAGATAGCCATCACTCGTGTTTTCGAGAGACGCCATGTTTATTTGTGATAGGGGGACTGGAGCCCAGCAATTTAGGGGATTGGTAATGAACGAAATCCATCGCCGACGGACGCCGACGTCTCAAACGGTTCAAATTTGAGTTTTCATATGTCGGGAATGATGCCGACCATCGCAGAAATCTGGGACGCGTCGGGAAAATAGAAACGCTCCCGATTCTCCAGAATTGTTCCCGTTCATCCCAGACGATCGGGAATATCTACGATTTCGAGTTTTCATTAGTCGGCAAAATTTGGGACGGTCGGGAAACAGTAAAATATCAGACCGTCTGGAATTTTCCCGACATATGAAAACCAGGCTTTAAAAGAATATTTTATTTCCTACAAGGCCAAAGATCACTGCGCTAACAGACCTTTTCCGACTGGGCGGTTTGCTGCTCCATTTCTGACCATATGATAATACTCTTGAGAGTTCTTCCTTTCAGATTTTCGAATGGTCGTGTGCATATGAATAAATATTTTTTAGATGGATAGTAGAACAATTCTCTATAGAATATCACGTGGTCTGTAATGGGAAAACAAACCGCCCAAGCGAAAAAGGTCTATCAGCCGTTCTATGAGCTGCTCTGTGACTAGAGAATACCCTATTGAACGAAAGTTTACGAATTTTGCGATCTCACAGTTGCAGTTTTTATCTAGTTATAGGTGAGTATATTTTATGACTAATTTTTAGCTTTATACCCTGTAGTTTTATTATATTCTCTTACATTTTATTTTTATTTTATACAGGGTTCCCTTGAAAAGCACCAAGCTGACTTTGTCACCTTGTTTAAATATTGTTATTAATGTTGTAAAATTGCCATTTTTCTCGACACGTCATTTCGGCAATTTGCAGAACCTTTTTCACTTTTAAGCCTTTATAATCTTCGATAGATTAGCTACCACGAACGGATTTCGGAAGGTCATATCCAAACACTTCGGAGTCACCGCTAAATATCTGAAGAACTCTATCCAACCGTTCTCTAGGGATCTGTGAGTAGTAAAATGACAGCTTAGATTGTGTGGTTGACGGCTTGACTTGTGGAAATGAAACACATGACTCTCTCCTTATACCAGAGAAAACAAAGTTTGCTTCTTCTTCAAGGTTTTCGAATCTTCCAATGAAGTCATACCGAATTCCACAAGGATGGCAAAGTTTGTCGTATGTTTGCCAGTGTTCGTTCCAGTGCCCATTTCCAATGTTTATAACGAAGTTTAGGAACTCGTCAAATGTTACGTTTTTGTGGTCAGGGTTACCTCCGGGTCTGTATCGCTTAATAATGCTCCTTCCATAAATGCTGTGAAAAGCGGAATCCCCGGTGTGGAATTTGTCAAGATAGGCTGAGAGAAGCCGCTCAAAAGGCTCTCGAACAAATACAAATTTAAAGTAAGTTCTCAGCATTCTTTCAACTTCATCCTTGGGGTAAACATGCAAGAATTTAAAGTTTTTTGCGTTGTGAACATGGTATTTATGTTCTGGTGGATTCAATTGCATCAGTACTGTCTTCCACTGAGTGCAGGGAACGTTTGGAATGTAACAAAATAATATTTTCAACTTTTCATCAACTATGATGTTGTCAAGCTTTTTAATATTTACGGATTCGTCGATTCTGTTTTTGCGTCTGCAGAAGTCCCCCATAGTTGTTTGTCTTTCCAAGTTCAGAGCCTGAATAGACACCACTTTACTTGCATTCTGGAAAGAAACAAGCAACAAAATATTGCTTTCAATCCGTTATCCCCGCAGATCCTTTTAAGAGGGGGGTGGGGGTGGGGCTTTCAGGGCGCAGAATAAAGATAATATGAATGAAATGTGTTTTATAATGAAAATAAAAAAGTTTAATAATATGGATAAGATAAGAACACCCAACGCTGAATTAATCCAGACAAGCACACGGCCAACGATTGGTTGACGGGCCCTCGTCAGCCACACCTTTGTTTTTGTTTACATGCGAGAGTTTGGCTATATATTATATTTTGTTCGGAGCATGTCGAAACCAGGGAAGTTACTGTGAAACTACTAAAGGTAATCAATCATACTTTCAGAAACACAACTTACAGTAAAGCAATAAGATTTCGCTTTACTTTGCAACATCTATAATTGCGCATCGAAAATAGCGGAGGCTGACTAGGGTCATTTAAGATGTCTCGTTACAGGTTTTTTGTCTGAGCCATACCCAGCTTTTTCAATCAGCTTTTTAACAGTCTTCCCTTAATCGGATCGATATGGAAATTACACAAGTTGTTGAAAATAGATTGAAGTTTGGTGTAATGTACTTTTTGAGGCAAATATGATTCCACGGAACAAACATATGAAACTCGGTTAAACGTGCAAAAACACCAATGTGCTATGGTGTATGGCAAGTGAACTATACAAGAATAGCAAAATTCTGTAGGTTTGATTTCGAAAACATTTCAAAATAGTTGTTTTCTTTTCTTATTCTATTTGCCATGTGCCCTAGTTTGAGACATTAGCATTAACATTTTTATATCTAATTTGATTTGTGCAAAATTCACGTTTTACTGATTTTCAATGTTTATTTTTAACATTTCCATGGAGATATCGATTACTTTAGGAAATACATAATACCAAACTTGGTGCAACTCAATCGAGGGAAGGCTGGTAAAAAGCTGTCTGAAAATGCTTAGTATGATACAGAAAAGAAAGTCACAGATTTAAACTCATTGCAGTACAGTATAAAGCTAGTGGCATTAAAGAGGATTTGAACCTCAAATTCAGCCCCTAAATTGCTTAGCCAGAACACATTCCCACGTTACATGATTGATTTGATATCATATCAGGATTTCATTATCCGAAGGCCCTGAGAATTAGGATTAATGTAGTAGCAATATTTATCGAACATAAAAAAACAAAACAAAACAAAACAAAAAACAAAAACATGTTCAAGGAGATTTCGTTCAATTGTTTTGCAAACGGAAAAGGTTTATGAAAAGCCACGTTGGAAAAAAAAACCAAACTATCACTGATTAAAATTCAACCAACCTTTCTGACAGTCTTGAAGCCAGAGAGGAAGTTCAGTCCTATAACATACAGATTGTGAAATGTTATTAGTAATTTATGAATTCAAATTTTTCGTT